GGGGCTCATCCACTTCCCAAAACACACCCTGCCCAAGTTCTGGCTTCTTCAGACCCGAGCAGCCTCCAGGAGAACACAAAGTAGGTTAGTCACTGCCCACCTCCCACCCTCATCGGATTGCTCTCTGACACCCTCCCCCCTTGGAGAGGGAGGGGATGCAGTCACTCCGCACTCCCAACACTGGCCCCACCTCAGCTGGATACTGGGGCACCTCCCCAGCGAGGTGAAGGGCAGACAGTCTTTTCCAGCAGTCACATGCTCCACCCAGCTGGAATCGCCCCCCACCCTCCCCGCAAAGCATTCCTTATGAGGGTAAGCTGCATCCAAGTCCTCCGCTTTGTTCCTGTTGGGGTACTCAGGTTGGTGGCAGCAGGCATGATACTCAAGGAATCCCAAGTATGTAAGATCCCAGGAGGCTCATAGCTTGCAGCTGACTGGCCATGCATGGTTCCCCGCCAGCAGTCAGAGGACATTTCTCCCCTCCGGCCCACCCACCTCCTCCACAGTGTGCTTCCGGACCTCTCTCTCCTTTGGTGAAGCTCCCACAGCAGAGGCTCGAGGATCCGGGTTTTCTGTGTCCAGAATAGCAGCTGGCAGAGCCCAGCCCACCACACTGATGGGGGGAACACCCTCACCTGGGTTCACCTGGAGCTGGGAGTCCCTGAAAGGAAGACATTCTCCGTTTTAACCCAGCTGTTTTCCTCCACTCTGCATCGTCTTAACAAATGTCACTGACGACCCCAGCTGTAGACGTGCAGCAGTCTCGATGTCTTCTGACACAAAGAAGCAAAGACAAAACCATGCCTTCCTTAATTAAATGAGTTCAAGGTGCTCCATTCGAGAAACACAGGAGGACTCCCCAGGTGAGAGGGGAAAGGGCAGGTGACACAGCTCTTTGTTTCCCACCTGCCAGGGGCTCTCACCTGAATCACCAACAGAGCTGCCTGGAAGGCTGGGACGTGGAGACTCTGTGAAGCCACCATCCACACTGGAGGCTGACTGTGAACCTGTCTCTCACCCCAAGGACACTTAGCACAGTCTGGGACATGTAAACAGGACTCTCCAGAAACCCTAGCGATTACAGGGAGCTCACAACCCAGATAACCCAGCCCACGTGGTGGTGCCGCCTCTGCAGTTTCCCTATCATGCCCACAGGCAGTGTGTCCCAGGTTCCCTGCAAGGTCAACATCGCCGCCCTGGCGATCTGGAGTCATTGGGCCAGTCTAGAAGGGGACCGAGCAATTCAACTTTTTCAACAGTTAACCTCGTCCTTATTGCCTGGGATCCTTGACAATCCAGCCTGTCTACCCACCATCTCCCCTGCCCAGGTAAGGCCACTTTCCAAGGCTGATTTCCTCTCTCCCAGTCCATTCCTGTCCTAAAACCTGCCCTATAGCCTGCCCTGGAGGGACGGCCCCGTTAGGGAAGACCCATCATGCACATAACCTCTGTCACCTGCACAGCAACCACATCAGAAGACCAAGGGTCAGAGCGCATAATGATGTCACAGTCGTCACCTGAATTCCTCCTGCCCCTCCCCACCCCACTCCACCCTCTCAGGGGGGAACTGGATGAACACATGCCTTCCCCTCAGCTCTCAGTCTCTGAAACCCATTGCCCTGGGCCTGCCCCATTTCTCCTTAGCTTGCAAATTGAAGAAATACCAAAGGGGCCTTACCTTGTCAGAAACTGCTTTTGTTTCAGTTGAGTTGGCTGATTGGGTTAGTCCCTTAACTGACCCCAGAGGACAAAGAATTCACAAGCAGGGGTACATTGCCCCACCCATCTTGTGTGGGTGGTCTTCCTTGAATTCTCAGACTTCCTCTACTATTTTCTATAAAGTGAGTCACCACAGCTTCCAGTGCCATAAGAGGAAAATCCAGAGGAAGATTTCTTATGCTTCTGATAATGTTCAAAGTAACGCATGAGAAAACTCTCGACATTAGTCATTAGAGGAATTGAAATCAAAACCATGAGTTACCACTTTATATTAACTAGGGTGGCCATAATAATAATAATTTTGAAAAGCAGAAACAAGTATTGGTACGGATGTGGAAGAATTGGAATTCTTGTACTTTGCTGGTGGGAATATAAAAAGGTGCAACCTTTGGGGAAAACAATGTTCGGTTCCTCAAAAACTCAAACTGAAGTTAACATAGGATCCAGGGATTTCATCCCTAGGTATACATCCGAAAGAATTGACAACAGGTTCTCCAACAAGTACTTGAACATGAATGTTCGTAGCTGCACTATTCACAACAGCCAAAAGGCAAGTGCAACCCAAATGGTGATCCACCCACAAACAAATGAACAAAACTGTGGTCTTTGCACACAATGGGTAATGGCTCAGCTCTGGACAGAAGTGAAGCGCTGACACCGGCCGCGGTGCGGCTGACTCGCAGAAACACTGTGCCACACGGGAGGCGGCAGAGAGGAAGGTTGCGCAGTGTATGATGCCACTTCTCTGAAATATCCCAGAAAGGTAAATCTATGGAAACAGAAAGCAAACTGGTGTTTGCCTGTAGGTGAGGAGTGGGGGGAGGGGGGAAGAGAGTGGGGCATGGCTGCTTCAGGGGAATGGGTTTTTAATCTTGGAGTAGTAAGAATGTTCTGGAAATAGAAAGCGGTGGTGGCTGCACAACCTGTGAATGCACTAAATGCCACTGAATTGTTAGCTTTAAAACAGTTAGTTTTATGGGTCAGGCATACCTTGTAGATACTGTGGGTCAGCTCCAGGCTCCCGCACTAAAGGGATATCGCCATGAGGGGAATCACACGAATGCCTTGATTTCCCAATGTATATAAAATTCTGTTTACACTATATTGCAGTCTACTAAGTGTGATGGCATCATGTCTAAAAGATGTACGTACATATCTTAAAAAGTACTTCATTGCTAAAAAGTGCTAACCATCATCTGAGCCTATTGATGAAATGGTTCTGATATAATTGCTTGATGAAGAGTTAACCACAAACCTTCACTTGTAAAAAAAACACACCTGCAAAGCAAATAAAACGAGGTATGCCTGCTTATGAATTTCACCTCTGTTAAAACAAAGTGTTAACACATATAAGGGAAAAAGAAAAAAAAACGTATAGGTAGCCGGGTGGGCTTTCAGATGCCATCTTCCTTCGCCGGGACGTTCGTGGGACAGCGAGGATGCATCGTTCAGACGGAGCGGCCTGTGGTTCCCGGCCCGCAGCCGCCCCTTCACTCTCCCAGACCCTTCCCGGCAGGCTGCGTCCCGCTTGGCTGCATACCCAGGAGACCCCTGGGAATAGGATAGACTTCCCTAACCGGAAGGTCGTATTTGTAACAGCTGATTCAGGTTTACTAGCATACAGAAGTAAAATACTTCATTACAGACTGCAACTTAGAGCCATTAAAAGGGCTCTTGACTATATATGAGAACTCAAAAATGATTAAAACTAATTCTACCTAGAAGTTTCAGCTTACTCATTATAAACAAATAACAGCAGAAGGAAGTCGTGACCATCTACCCTCTGTTCTAATTTTAAAATGTGAATAATTACCCTTTCAGGAAAAAAAGCACAGAATTTTTAAGAGCAGTTTAAACCAATAAATGCCTGGTGTAGAAAGAGGCAAGCACTGCAGATCAGACCACCGCCCACCTGATTGGTGATGGTGGCAGCTCCCAGGACATTATCGGTTGCAGCTTCAGCTCAGCTACTGGAGCAGTTTCTCCCGTGAGCTCTGCTTTCAGGCACAATACTGATTTCAACGGGGATTATGGCTTGTGTAAAAGGCATAAAACGTTCACATTTTTGCTATGTCAAATTTTGTTCCCCCAAATGCTAAATTAGTACAGATTTCATCTTCTAAGAATCAGTTTCTCCCAAGTAGAACTGCTCATACTTAGGAATTATTCCTTAAGGTTTATATCTAGAATGAAATATTTATTACTGGACGCAACTGAACAAAAGGTTTTGTTCAGCAGTAGCCTTATGAGAATGAAGGTCGGTGATCCAGACGGTTCAGTGCCCCTCCGTTGTCACACGGAAAGCCACATCCTTCCCAGACCTCTCCAGGGAAACTGGTGAGCAAAGTGTCCCGGGAAACTTCTCTAAAAGGATCCCTTCCCTACACGGAGGCTTGGGGGGAGGGGCCAATACAATGGTAACTGCCCCAGTGTAAATTACTTAAGTACCCTAAATACCTTCTTTCAAAAAAAGAGAGAGAGAGAAAGAGGAGGAAGGAGAGAAAGAGAAAAGGAAAGAAGAGGAAGAAGAAATAACAGAAATTAGGAGAGCAATCCAGAAGTGATTAACACTGGAAGCAGAAGGGACCCAACTAAACATTAATGACCACTTCTAGCTGCCTTTGACAGCACAGCATCCTGAAATACCCGCCTAGCTTTTGGAAACTGCAGAGAGGGGTTCAAAACCCTGCCTCTCCATTTAGAAGCATGTGACCTTGAATAAGTTCATTAGCTTGTCCCAGCCTTTTTTTTTTTCCCCCTCCAATAGGAATGATCCTACTGACTGCCTGGAATGGTAGGTCTGAGTGAGAGAAGGAGCTTAAGCATCCATCCAGCCAGGGGGCCCTTTTCCTCCCCTGGCGTCTGAAGTCCTAACACCCTAACCTGTGTCGGGATTTAATGAGTGACCCCAAGCCAAGATGTGCTCCTGTGGTATGTAGATTATTTTGAGCTAAAGACAACTGAGACCCTACAAGAGAAAAGTCTGTCCCTCTGCCCCTTTAATTACCTAGAAGAACTTGAACTGGGGGTCTTGCCCATAAGAAATTACAAGAGAGAACCTTTGTTTGTCCACCCCTAGGGCAGGGCAGAGTGCTAATTACTGAACACCTGCTCTTCTCCTCCTGCTGCAGGGACACTCTGAAGCCCCAGAGCGCCTCACCTGGGCCTTAGCTCAGGATGCCACACACCCCCCCACCTCAACTTTCCGCCCTGGCCCTCGCACACAGGTGGGCGCTTGTCACGGGTGTTGATGCCACACCGGGAAATCAGAACACAGCCAATGCAATTGTATTTTTTATTAAAAAAAAAAAGTTAAATAAAATAGTGATTGGTTCTATATAAAACTGAACTGGAGTCCATAGTTCATGGTGGGGGAGGCGGAGGAGAAGGAGACAAGGCTGTGGCTGTAGCAGTTTCTTTTTCTTCATATCTGGGAGGCGATTCAGACGAGAGCTGTGGAGTGTGTGCGCTCTCCGAGGATGGAGGAGCCCCAGAAATAGTGTATATGGGCACGTGCTCCCTCACAGAGGCAGTGCCTTGGTCCTCAGGAGCCGGGGTCCTGCTGGAAAGGGAGAGAGGACGGGAAAGGGAGGAGAGGGAAAGAGTAACACACCTTAAGGAAGAAGGTTCTTTTCAAACATGCAAGGACCTAAGGAGCAATTTTTTCCACATTCTGTTTATACCTATGTTTCAGTTCCTTGTCCCTTACTTTCCTTAGAGCCGATCGTAACATTAAGACAGTCTCCCTCCTGTCGTCATTTCCTTTGTCACCGAAAAGACAGGGAGCACAAATGTAGAGGGGCCGTCCAAAGAGCACACGCGCACACGCACACACACATGTGAGTCACTGTTCTCTACTACTTTGTCCCCTAAGGCGGCTAACAAAAGGCAGACGACCTTATGCAAATAGACAATTAAATCATTAGGCCACAAACTGGGAGAAAGCAGGAAGGTGTGCTTCACTGACGGGGTGGGGGTCGGCCACAGGTCCACCCACCTGCATCTGAGTTTACGTGCTGCTGCCTTCTAGCGACGTGATCTCTAAGCCGCAGGCCCTCCCCTGTAAAATGGGGAGAGCAGTGCACACCTCCCAAGACTAGGAGAAGTACATGAGGTCATGCGAGAGAAGCCAGACTCTGGCCCACAGAAACCATCGAAGCAATAGTAGGAGTAGTTTTTGTTTTATTTACTAAGGTTAATAGATGTTTCTTTTAGGGCTTGGAGAAGTTCATCATTGGAGAAAAGAGTAGAAAAAGTCACTAACAGAATCCTACAAATGTCCAGAACCTAACCTCCCCTTCTTCCATGCAGGGCAGTTCCCACATCCATGACTGGCGGGATTGCCAGCTCACCACCCCATCTGAAGCACAAGAACACGCGCCTGAGAAGGTGGGTGGCCAGCCAAGGCAGCACCACCCACAGCATGCTCACTGCGCCCCTCAGGCCCTGCTTCCCACTCCGTTCAAAAAGGCACAAGTCTTAGTGCCTGGAAAGTGGCCTGTCACCGAGTCCTGCTCATCCGCTCACCTGCCTTTTGAAATCTCCCAGCAATTCTTCCTTCACTGCCTGCATCCTGGTTTCTCATTTGAGAAGGTGCCAGAGCCTTCGCCAGCCCTGCTCCTCCCTGGCACTTCAGGAACTCCTTCCTGTCACACCTGCCCCTGTGGGCCCTCTGCAAGTCATAACTCCCTGACCCCCTGGTTTCAGCAACCTCTCCCCAGTTCCATCTCTTGGTCAAGACCCAGTGCCTTGAAAGTGCCCTCCAGTCTACCTGGAGAAGCCACATCTCACTACTCCTCCAACACAAGCGTCTCCCCATCTTCCCCCCACCTGCACCGAGCTCAGTCCCACCTCCTCCTCAGGCAGCGGCATCCACTGTCCCTGTCACTCACCCTTGACCTCTGCTCTTCCTCACTGTCCTGTTCATTCCAGGTTCCTTCCCACATACCATGGTTCTAGGCTCCTGTTACCTCAGGCCTGTCCTTGGACTCAGCCCCCTCCGACCTTTGCCCATTGTGAACTGGGCTAACTAACCGCTGCTTGCAGCCCCCTGGGCTGACTCCAAAACCTACAGCTGTGTCCCTCTGCCTCAAAGAAAAGGCACTTAGATGTCCGCTATTGCATCGGATCCCTGATACACCCCCTAATTTGTGGGGTGGGGCTGTGGATCTTACATTTCCCTTCAATCAATCTGAGAAGGCTCTGAGGCCCCGGGAACAACTTATTATTGAGGGGAACAGGCAGATTGGTCAGGTCAGGTGCAGGTGACTTTAGCCAGTCACTCGGGTGCCTCTGTTAGAGGTCCCCTGGGGTCCTGCACCTCCCCACAATCTAAAGCAGCACGTGGGGGGCCTCCAAGCCCTTGCTCAGTGCTCAGTGTGGCTGATGGGTTGCTGAACATTTTGAGGGTCGCCCCTGCTAGGAACACACAGTAAAATGCCTGGAGAAGGCTTCGCGTGAGCCGAGCACAACCACTTTTATAATCTGTAACCTACATGTTGCCCAAAGTCCCCTGAAAGGCACTGTTAATATTAAGGCAACAATTCTTTCATAATGACAGCAAAAAAAGATATTCACACTCTGATGTTTACTCCTGTCCAACAGCCTTAAAGCTGATTTGGCCTAAATACAGGCCTAAAAAAGATTAAAATGCTGCCCATGAACTTTAAATGGAAAGTCTTACCTGTGGTTAAAAATACTGTAATAGGAAGGCGGACTTTCATTTGGAAGCGAACTGTTAGCCCCAGGACTTCGAGGCGCTGCAGCAGCTGAAGACTCAGGAAAGTAAGGTGGTGGAGGGGGCGGGAATATTATCACGGCATCACCTAAGGAAACACAATATTTTGTTGAAGATCCATGAGTAATAAATGCAAACAAATTAGCAAGAGCAAAATAAATTAATTACGTATTTAGCCCATCGATAGAAATGGTCAAAACACCTGTGCCAACTCCAGAATTCAAAAGAGGGCTGATCAGACTTACAGAGACGGAGGGTAGAAGTTCCCAGGGGCTGGGAGCAAGGGGGACGGCACTGGTGTCTCCTGGGTGCCAAGTCCCTGTGGGGGCTGATGGGAAACTTCTGACAGTCGCGAGGGGTGACGGCTGCACAGCATTGTGAATGCACGTAACGCCACCACACTCTTAAGGAGGGTCAGGGTGGTGAATTTTATGTTACATGTGTTTTAACACAATTTTTAAAAAACAGTTGACCTGTACTTCATTGCAAGTCTGAGTGACAGTGCTTCAATGAAGCATTTCCTAACAATGTGCCTCGCTTGCCCTGTCCACAGCTTTAAAGCTTTTCTCATTTTTAACTTACAATTTTCATTCATCAAAGGTTGGCTGTTGGATAAAGTGTCTTGTCTCTCACATGCAGTTTCACCTCTGAACAAATGACAACCAGCTACCCTGCAGCCTAGCGCTGGTATTCCACAGCTGTGGTTTATGCTCTTGTAGTCTTTTATCTACCGGCAATTCACCCAAGCCTCACAAAACAAAGTTAAACTCAAACATCTTGTTTTTAGCATTCCCAGCACACACACCTGTGTTTTGGGGAGGAGACACTCGGGACCAGATGCAAGCACTAAGCTGTGTTCCAATTCCAATACAAAATGCACCAGGTGAGTTGCCCAGAACATTCTAGCCCTGAGGCAAGCACCACTACATAGAGGTTTGAGGACAGCCTTTGGGAGTCAGCGGCACCACATGACAGCACAGGAAACATGAAGGAGGAGAGAGCACTTCTCTGGGGAAGGAGCTGGGTTTGCAGGGAAGGAGCTGGGTTTGCAGCGGCGGTGGGCGGCAGATCTGATGCTTGCCTAGGCAGGGGCAGGACTCCGTAAAGCTCCCAGGGTTCCATTTGCCAGTTACCAAGCCAGCATGGCCCTGACCAAGTTCTTTAACCCCTCTAGACCTCAGCTGCCACATCTGTAAACTGCAGGCCATAACTGCACCTGCCTGCACCTGCCTCAGGACGGGTAGGAGGATTGGGTTCCTGTGCAGCCACTGAAACAGAGTTGGGCCCAGAGCAAACTCTGTCAGCTGCTCTGCACCCTCAGAGGTGCCTTCTTCTCACTGCCCAACAAGAGGCACTGATCTGCATGTCTGAAGAAAGATTCCCAACTGGCAGCCGTGGCCAGTGGTTCCACTCTCCACCTCAGTGCCCGAAGCACTTCCCGGGAGGTAACTTAGCCCTTCAGAAAACCCATTACCTCCATCACTCCTAGTTGTTCGAGCTTTCCTCGCTAACCCAGACTTGATAAAACATAATGGTTGTCTTCTCATTTTTTTCAGAAGGTCTGGGTAGGTCAGAGGAAGCAAGGTTAAGCGCTCACTTTTAGTTACACACTGGAGAACACAGGACCGGGGCATAAGCCTCTAAGGCAGGCCAGTGACCTATCAAACACAAATAAGGAAATGTTCAAAGTCACCCGTTATCTCTGGGGCTTGTCCTTCCTGCACGGTCCATTTCCAGCCCTCCCTCACCTTGCAATCTGCTTTCACCAGCAAAGATGTCCCATCGCCCCCCGGGGTTTCCCCTTCCCCAGGCCTGAAGAACTTGAGGTTCTCTGTGCCTTCACAGCACAGGCCCCTGAGGGAGGACTATCTCCTACACCTGCCTGTGTAGCCAGGGTCCAGCGCTGAGTGTGTCCACAATGTGGACATCGCTGGTGCATCTACTGGGCGGTGGGAGAGACTTCCGCCCTGGGAACAGCTGAATTCTGGGACTTAGGTCCAAGAGCTGCCTCTTAGTCCCCCAACTTCACTCGTAAGGCAGAACTGACCTTTGAGAGACAATGTCCAGGACCTTATGAATTGTGCCAAAAGTCACAAATGATTTATAAAGCTTTAACCCTTATCCCATAATATCAAAGGAGAAAAAACAAGGAGCTAGGGTGTCAGATTTTCACAGGCTTGATGGGACTTAAAGGGTTAAGTGGCAAAGACTTTAAACTATGCAGTGCAGTGCCGACATCAGACCAGACTGCCCAGGAGTCTCCCCACCCCAGCACCAGCAGCCCTGCTCCCTGACACCTCCCATTCTAGCCACCAGGACAGAGGCACCCAGAAGTTCTCCTGATAGCAAGTCCAAAGGGCACACCTCAAAATGCTCTCAACGAAGAAAAGACTGCGCACCTCACCAGTGCCTTCATCTGGGCCCCACTTTGCTCCCTGGAAGGACTCGGAATGGTCTCTACTGGGTGAGCCCTTTTGTCATGTGACAACTACCCAGGACACCTGGGGAAGATGGGAAGAGCAGACACAGAAACACAGCTCAGTGCATTGGGGAGGGTGCTGTGCAAGGGCCAACCCACCTGGGTTTGGGTCCTGGCTCTGCCACTGGCTACTGTGTGACCTTAGGCAGGTTATTTGGTGACCCTGGGCCTCAGGGTTAAGAGTTTATTCATCTCTAACTTGGGGGTACTAAGAGTACCTGCCTCAGTGGGTTGTTGTAGGTGTGAAGGAATTTCATACAATAGGCCCTTGAAGAGCACATGCTAACTGCACTTAGATGGGTGTTTGGCACAAGAATAAATGTTATGTATGTGTTATCTATCATGACTAATACCTGTACTGTCCCCTGACGTACATAAATGCACGGAGAAGCAAGCTGGGAGCACCAACCCAGGCTTGGAGCAAGGGCTGTCTGAGTCCACCTTCCCTTTCTCCCTGAGTCCTGGTCCCAGGGCCCGCAGCCCAGGGAAGTGCCTGCCTGTGCTCCGTGAGCCCTGCTGGCTCTGGCTGCAGCCACCACATGAGGATCATCTCACTCGCACCCTCCTTCTCTGTTCCCTCCAAGCTTTCTGCTCTGGGATTCTCTTTGCCTGGCCTTTTAGATGTCAAGGCTGTGGCTTCAGAGCTTCATCCTTTCAAGAGTGGGAGGCTGGGGAAAAAAAGTAACTTGCAAAGATGAGAAGTGATGGGGTTTTCCCCTGATTGTGTGAAGCTGAGGCCAGCGCTACTGGTGGTGTTCTTTGGGGAGTTGACTCTGGGATAATCCATCTATTCAGCCAGACCCAGGGGACCCAAAAGGAATTTCTAGGCATTCCATGGGGGAAAGAAGTGACAGGTGTTGTCATACTTTGTTTCCATTTATGCCTCTGCTTCCAAACTTTGCTCTAATCCTGAAGTTACAGAAAGTAAAGAACAATGAAGAAAATGGAAGGTCCCTCAGAACATAGAGGACCTGGAAGTTAGTGCTGGAAGGAATCTTAGAAGGGCAAAGCTCATTTTATAGACATGTAAACTAAGGCCACGAGAGGTTAAGGACTTACCCAAGGCAGTCAACCAGCGACAGCTGGGGATGAGAACTCACGTGCCCGCCAAGGCCAAGTGCCACAGGTTTCAGTGTGAGAACAGTGGGGGAAAGAGGATCACTTGGCAGGTCCCTAAGGTGACAGAGGACTCACAGATCGTCTCTGAGGTTCTTCTCACTTTCCTCTTGATTTGCTTTGTTACCTCAAAGTCACCACTTAGAGTCCAAAAGTTTTTGCTAAATAATAATGAATTGCTGGGACAAAATGATGTGTACAAGGACTCCTCTGGGGCTTACCTTTGCAGCAACACTGTGTGTGTGTGTGTGTGTGTGTGTGTGTGTGTGTGTGTGTGAAAGAGAGAGACAGAGACAGAGACAGTGAATCTAGGCCAGACCCAAGGGCAGCCCAGAGAAGCCTGGATACGACAGCCACTGTGATGTGAGCAAGCACAGGAACGACAGCCACCCACCTACGGTGACCTGGACAGGCTCCGTGCTCTGGGTCTGTCTGTCTTCACTCTCGGAGGCATGCTGGTCCTCACCCAAGTTGTTTCTCCTCTTAACGTGGGCCACCACGAAGAAACACAATCCCATGAGCACAATCAAGGGCCCCAGGATCTGCAAGGACAGGAACCCACAGATCTGGGGCTCCTCGTTGGCAGTGTCTGTGTCATTCAGCGTTTCCTGCTCCCAGTCTGGACCACAGCCAGGGACCCAGATGCCCAGTATGCTGATGAGCATGCCGCTGGTCAAAAAGAGAAATCCAAAGATGAGGCACTGGGCAAACTGGCGGCTCTCTCCGCAGATGAAGGCTTGGTCAGGGTCCGCCTGGTGGCCTCGAAGGCGCCCCTCACGGAACTGACGTAGTGCCCGGGAGCGGGCCAGGATCACAGCCGCAAGCCCGACCACGGCACACGCAGGCCCGACGACCTTCAGCACCATGCTGCAGTCCGGGAGGGGTTTGTATTGGCATGCCTGGAACCCGAAGATGGAGAGCAGGACTCCCACAAACAGCAGGATGGCACCAAAGACGAAAAGGAAGAAAATGAGCATGCTGACATGCCTGTCTTGCTGGGCCCCGCCTGGTTCAGCGGCTGCAGGAGACATGGCCAGGAGAGGCCCCCGCCCCAGGGAGGGGTGGGGTGTGTTCCTTTCCCTCCAGTGGTGCCCACAGCTCTGCAAACATAACCAAACTCCAAATTAAAGTGGGCACAGGTGTTCCTGACCCACCCTGTCCTCTCGCTGGCCGTCAGAAGTCACACCAGGATGAAATCATAGGGAGTAGAACTCTATCCAATGGACACACTGCAGAACAATGAATTGGCTCATGAGTCAGAAGGACTGGCATTCAGGAACTCCTGAATACTTAATTTTATGAAGATATTCAAGAAGAGGAAATGCAGTTACCATGTACCTAAGAGTATATCTAAAAAACAAAAACAAAACTCTTTACGGGGCTGTAAATTATGGCATAGAAAATACAGTCAATAATACTGTCATAATTGTGTATGGTGTCAGGGAGTTACTAAACTTACTGGGGTGATCACTTTGTAAGTTACATAACTGTCTAATCACTATGTTGTACATCTTAAACTAATGGAATATTGAATGTCTACTGTAATTAATTTTTTAATTTTAAAAAAGATTCTATTTATTTTAGAGAGAGGGGAAGGGAGGGAGAAAGAGGAGAGAAATATCAATGTGTGGTTGCCTCCTGTGCACCCCCCACCAGAGAACTGGCCCACAACCGAGGAATGTGCCCTGACTAGGAATCGAACTGGCAACCCTTTGGTTTGCAGGTCAGCAGTCAATCCACTAAGCCACACCAGCCAGGCTAATTTTTTTATTTTTAGTAAATATTTAAAAAAACATAGAACACAAGTAACTGGATGTGGCTTTTCCTGTTCTAAGTCTTACAAACTCACACTCTCAGGCAAAAAAAGAAAAACAACAATGGTGAGTGAGGGAACAACCACAAGGATTATTTTTGATTTACAGACGTTCCACGTTTCATCACAGCTGCTCTGAGCATTTCCATGTCAGTACATTTTTGTTCAGTAACTAACTTTCCATTTCCTGTTTCAGACCCGCAGCAACTTTCCATTCCGTGCTTTATTCTAAGGCTACATCGACAGGAGAGCCAAGTTTCAATTGAACAGGAAGGCAGTTTGGGAACTCAGTGGGCTTAGTGGTTATTAAGTTACTTCTGTCAAAATGTGATTCTTGAGTTCTCACTCAGGGGCTTCCTTGGCCTGGAATCTGGTGGCCTGGCTGCTGGGGGGTGGGGGGGCCGGGATGACCTGGGGAGGGTGGCAGAGCCGGTGAGGCGGAGCCTTGTCTCCCAGGTGGCCAGGCAGCCTCTCACTTGCCCCCCTCCTTGGTGCCACCCACTTCCACAAAGAGGCTGAGGCTGTTAAAAACAAACAGCTGATAAAATCACCAGTTACAAAGCACTAAATGGCAATAGAACTTGACTTTGAAAGAAGAGCAGGAGTGAAATCAAGTGAGAAAGCACCTTCCACAAGATCACCCAAGCCCTGTTCCTCACGGGTACCACAGATTAAATAAACCCGGAGCAGCTGTTTCAGAGTGGTCTGGTGCACACACACTGACTTCGGTATTCCGTTACCCGGTTCACTCTACTCTAACGGGCGGGTATTTTACCAGGACCTTTCAAGTCGGGGCATTCGAGAAGACACTCCCAGCGTGAAGACTGTCTTCACTGCTCAAGGAAAGAGAACCTTTAAAATATCTTATGCCATTTGCATCCATGGTCACATGAAGGAGCTCAAGACCGAGGCCAAGGCCATCTGGACAAACCCAAATCGGGACCAAGCCGGGCCAGTGTGGGTAAGGAAAGCAAACAGCCTGTCTTAGATGAGGAAGTACTTTTCCAGGAAAAAGTATGATAGAATCAAAAGGAAGTTGAAGAAAAAAGGAAGTGTAGGAGGGAAATAAGATTTTATTTTTAAACTTGGACAAACTATATTTATGAAGATGCAGTGAAGCTGAGACAAAGAGATTTAAAGTATTGTACCAATATTTTTTAAAGTTTCTGAATCATGTTATCCCTTTTGCTAGCTCTGGGATAAGGGCGATTCTCTGCTACAAAGTCCTATCAGGGATTCATTGTGTTCCCGGCACCTTCCGTTTTGAAGTGAGTCGCAAGGCTTCAAGCATCTCAAGGCAAATTCCCAAATACCAGTAAAGAAAACAGAAGCCCCAAACTGGATTTAGGCTTCTTTCCGTGGCCTGGTGGAGTAAGCACAGACGTGTTAGTCCCTGAAGCAAAAGAACGTGTGGGTCAGTCTGTCTGTCGATTCTCTCTATACATGAACTCACACAGACACACGGACACCTACACTAACAGAAAGTGTAACCTTTTCCAAATGCCAACCTACACTTAATTTCGCTGAAGCCAAACTCACCTCCCTAACACCCTATCCCTTTTCCTAAGGGCATTTCCAATTCAGCAGCACCTAAGAACTTCCAGAGCTCTGGTGCGGTTGGGGATCCAGGCAAAAAGGCAAACGTCTTTCACGGGAAATAGCCCCGTGGGTTTTAGGGAGATCCGGCGCAGCAGCCCCGAGCGAGCGGCTGGGCACGCGGCTCCCTCGGGCACAGGTCGGCGCACGGTCCTCGGCGCTGGAGCCGCTCCTGGCAACAAGCCTCGGGCGTAACAACGCGGCGCCAGCCCGGCGGGCTGCGAGCGCAGGTCCCCGGGACCCGGTGAGGCTCGGGGTCCGGAGTCGCTTACCTGCGGCTCCGTCTAGCGAGCGTGCTGGCCGCGCCGGGGCGCTTCCCGGGAGCCTGGCGTGGGTTTCGGGGTAGGCGCTCAGCGGTGCAGCGCCGGCCGCGGGCAGCCGGCTGATCGCAGAACCCCTCCGCAGGCTCCCACCTGCGGAGGGCGGGCCGCCACTGTATTTACAGGAGGAGGCGGCGCCGGGAGGGCGCGGCGGCTGGGGACGGCGGACAGGGCAGGGCCGACTGGCGGGAGCTGGCCGGCACCGGGTGCTGCCCTTCGGGGACGGAAGCGCGCCCGGCCTGGCAGTGGAGAGTGAGGTGCGGCTTCGCCGTCCAGGTCTGGGGGACCCGGCCGCTTCCGAGCCCGTGGCTGTGCGCGCGAAGAACCCGGGTGTAAATGAGCACCCGCACCGCCCCCCAGGTCTGCAGCCCCAGGGGAATCGGTGGCGAGTCGAGGGACTCCTGGCTGTCCGAACTGCGCGTTGCGCCGGCCGAGGCTAGCTTCCAGGGTTCGGGGGAGGGGGCATGAGAAAGGGAATGGGCTTTTGCACTACCAGCGTGGCGGCAGCGTGGGGCCCCCCGCGTTCCCGCCGCCGCTCTCTCGGCCGCCCCGCGGCCTGGGAAGGGTCCATCCAGTAGCCCTGTGTTCCTGCTGCCGTTCCACAGACTTTGACTGGGGGTCACTGGAGCAAGTCCTCCTCCGAGAGTTCCCCGGTGAGGAGGTTATAGAGATAGATACCAGGTTCCAGAAACTTGTGCGCCATTAGGAGACGAGGGTTCTCCACATCCGAGCCATCCTAGCTCCTAGGCTGAAGCAGGACCCTGGCTGTCTCCATTCCGGGCCAGCCCTCCCTGCCTCACTCGGAGGTCTGCTCGCACCCCTCCTTGGCCTTAGAACCCCCTTCCCAGTTCTGAGTCGCTAATGATCTGCTGGAATTAAACTGGTAACTTTCCCTGCCCTTGAACCAGAAGGTTCAGGATGGGTTTGCTAATCCACGTGCTATTTGTAACCTACCGGGTGACACGTGACAGGACTCAACTGTGCCACTTTGCACACCAGAAGTCAGGGCGTGTGGAGGTGAGTAAAGGGCTCAGCCCAAGCTCCAGGAGCCTTGGGGACTTCCCCATCCCCTCCACTTTTCCTTAGCTTCCTATCCACTTTGCCTGGAACCCCGTGAAGTTAACGCCACTTGCATTAATTAACCTTGTTAAAGTACAAATACATAGCATACCTTAATATAGCAAGTTGTTCCCAATAGTTCTCACTGAGGGCAAAGATGAGAAGAGTTTTAGCTAACTACGGGAAGTGAGAAGGAGACTCCCAAAGAAGTGGTTGGAGAAAAGCAAAGAGGGAAGGGTGTTAGCTGGGCTCCGAGGGCTGGACGCCTGGGTGGTGAGATGTGGCTTCACCAGGGGATGCATACTGGACAAGTTCCAGCGTTGGAATTTGTTGGGGACACTTGCCCAGTGGCCAAATGTGGCCTTTTTCACACTTAGCACGCCCTGGCCACTGCAAACCCCTCCCCCTACTAAATAAAGGACATTGGTTATGACTGTGATGAAGAACCCTAACCTGGTGACCCCATGGTCTTGTGAGGCTCTGTGTTCCTCTCCTTACCTGCAGCCCAAGGCTCTTTGCTGTGTGGCTCCAGGTCTCAGAACGCTGGAGCCAGAAGGCAGTAGGGGAGCTAAAAACAGCTGTTTTTCAGTTGAGGAAAGTGAGGCCCAAAGAGAGAAAGTTAGTCCAGAACTGGTTAATGTGAATCAGATATACTGACTCTTCATTGTTCTTCCTGGGTATACCTGTCACCCAGAGGATACACAAAGCCACAAACTCAAAAATGGCTTTTTTATTACATGCCTTTTAGATCATTATAACCATACAGACACTGCATCCCAAGGATATTGCAGCAATCCGTGTCCAGGCTGCAGATAATGCCGATCAAAGTGTCAGGCATACCACCTTCCGGAAGGGCCTCAAAGCACACCTCGCACACAAGCAGAGAGCCCACAGCGGCGGTTGCACAACAGCGGTGGCACCGGCCTGTCTAAGACAGCAGGGCTGGACTATAGAGTTTGCCCTCTCTGCTCAGGCCAGCTAACAACTCCTTGTACAAGAGACCTCGTGTCTCCTCCCTGCTCATTCTTACCTTCTGCCTTATTTAGAACTCAGTCTCTAGTCGTGTTGTGTGTGGACCTGCAAGGGGCCTGTTGATACAGCTGCCCCTCTGGTGCCACATGACTGCAGGCTGGCCACACATGACAGGCTTGAATGTACTGGCACCAAGGACAATCAGATTAGCTTCCACTTGGAATATCTGCTGCTTGGACTGTTTGTGTCTTTTGGAGCCCGTCTGACTAAATTAAACTCCATGGAAACCAGTCATGGGTCAAGTATGAAAGACATACCCACCAGCCTTCAAGGAGCTGGTCTTGGTAGCAGATCTGCTCTTAGGAAAGAGATCGGATGGCCCTGTCACTCTCTAAAACCAAATAGCCTTTTCCGGCCGGTGTAGTAGTGAGAAAAGATAAGCCCAGACAAAATCCTTAGAAAAGCAGCATCAGAACAAGCTTTAAAAAATGGATGAACCTTGACTTCAGGAAGCAAGCACATTCAGAGAATTAAGCCAAGGCAAGCATTCACATATACAGTCAGCAAATATTTGATTGTTGACCATGTTCCAATAAACAAAATAGAACATCTTTCGCCGACGTGGAACTTATATTTTAATGAGGAGAAAGATAATAAAAGACACATGTAAATTATACAGAGTATTAGAAAGCACCAAGTGCAATGGAGAGTCAGAAGCTGCAGAAGGAAACTGGGGAGGGCTGGGGAGACTTCAGTTTCAATAGGGCAGTTCAGGAGGGCGTGTCCCCAAAGGTGACATTGCAGCAAAACTTGAAGGGAATGAGGAAGCAACCATATTCATAAACTAATATTGCATAACAAATTAACTCTAAATTTAGACACTTAAAACAACTGAGATTTATTCTCTCTCTCAGTTACCGAGGGTCAAGAATCTGGGAGCCGCTTAGCTGGGTGGCTCCAGCTCAGGGTGTCTCCGTCAAGCAGTTGGCTTAGGGCTGCCTCCTCTGCAGGCCAGCCCAGGTGGCTCCATGGCGGCTCGCGCCCACAGCTGTGGGCAGGAGGCCTCCGTGTCTTGCCATGTGGACCTTCCCACAGAGCCTCCTGACTGTCCTCAGGACAGGGCAGCTGGCTTCCCCCAGAGTGACCCAAGAGAGAGCAAATGAGGAAGGCGTGGCAGTGCCTTTTATGACGTAGTCTCTGAAGTCCCACACCACAACTCTGCTGTATTCTGTTTCTTAGAATTGAGTCGCTGAGTCTAGGGTTGCACTCCACCTCTTGATGGGAGAAGTATCGAAGAATCTGATGTATTTTTAAACGATGAATTTGAATCTGTTTTAAAGCTATGGCAGAGAAATATAATGATATTTGGAGGAAGGAGGGAAGAACACTGGCAGAGGGAACAGCCAAAGCAAAGGGCCTGAGGCAGGAACAGGGGAATTCAAGGAAGAAGAGTCCAGGGTGCATGGAGCCGGCGGGCAAGACAGGGAGGAACAGGGAAGGAGGTCAGAGAGGGCAGGTGTGCGGGTGAGCCCGTGCACCAGGTTGTGGAAGGCTTCGCTGTGCGCCGTTGTAAGTACTTTGAATGAGATGGGAAGACTTTGGAGGGTTTTTTTCCTTTTTTTTTTTTAAGCAGAATGTGATATGACCTGACTTATTTTTAAAAAGAAGACAGTTGCTTCTGCATGAGAATAGCCTGAGGAGGAGGGAGGGTGGAAGGGAGGAGACCATTTAGGAAGCTATTATAATAACCCAGGAGAGAACTCTGGCTTGTGTTCGAAGGTGGTAAAGGCGATTGTGTTCTGCATATACCTTGAAGACAGGCTTTTCCTGGACTGGATTTGGGTTTGAATTCCAAGTTTTTTGGCCTGAGGACCTGGAAGGATGGTGCTGGCATTGACCCAGACAGGGAAAACTGAAGGCCAGTCAAGGTGGAAGGGGGGGTTTTGGGGTTCCATTTGGGGCATGTTAACTCTGTGATGTCCACTAGATATTTAAGTGGAGGAGTTCGGTAGGCAGTTGAATGCATACGCCTGGCATTCAGGAATTCTGGAAGGAATACTTTCCTGTGGTCTGTTGGCGATGCTTGTTACAAAGTCAGGAAGGCTGGAGGAGCCGATACGTGCAGATGTGGCTACACCTGCCCAGTGGCAATCTGCTGCTGAGGCCTCCCAGGAAGCGCACAGCGAGAAGCGCAGCTGGGAGGGCTGAGCTTCTGCTCTGTCCTCAGAGCGGTGACCTAAGGACCATGTGTCCTTCACTCCTGCAGCACCGGCCATACAACACTCCCCAGGGCAACTCGGAAAAGATGTTCTGGGCGAGTGGCGTGTTCTGGCTTGTAGAATTTACAATTGCCATTTTTCAGAATTGAAAAAATGACAGAAAGACAATCAGTCATTAAGACTGCCAGCTTCTAGGTTCTCTTTTGGTCTCTCTCTGGTTCTGCCCCAAATGTGCCTTAGCACCCAGAAACGTGCATTCCTCTCCCAGTTCCTGACATTTCCTGAGACTCCCTTGGGGCCGGGGTGCAGGAATTTATTTTCAAGTGCTCAGTCTCGGGTCAACATTTCATCAGTTATTCCCAGGACTGCCAGCAATGCCTCTGAACCTGGCAAGGCCCCATCGAGCTGCCAACCCCTGCAACGTGCTGTGGTTGGGGGAGGCCGAGCTTCCTGGGCATTTTCCTCCTCCCCTACCCCTAAGCTGGACTTAGACCCAGGAGCCTGAGACACATGTCCTGAGTAAGATCAACTGATATGACAAGCTTGAATTGAGGATTTAGATTTAACTCCTTAGCTGATACCCAGTGCAGTCATTCTACTAACCGGGGTGGCGCTGTTATTTTGGCAAGGTTTTTAACAGCTCAGCTTAAGTGCAGTTAGCTGGAGCCAGGGGTAGGGGATGCAAGGAGTGGTCTCAGAGAGTGAGGATTTGCCCGGCACTCTGGAGGTCTCACCGGCGTAGGCCTCCACAACGCGGAGGGAGAGTCACCACTTCCACAGCAGTGACAGCAGCCGGCAGCAGGCTAGAGGAGACCAGACATTGACAGTGAGGGTTTCGCAGAAATGTAGTGACCTCCTGGTGTCTTGCTTTGGCTCCATCAAACACCTACCACTAAACAGGCCCCAGAGAGTGGATTATTTCTCTACAGCATGCAAAAGGGGGACGAGACAGAACTTAGTTTACATCCTGGCTTTGTCACCGGCTGTGTGACCTTGGCCAAGTAAACAACTTCCTGTGCCTCTGTGTCCTCACCTGGAGTGTGGGAATAAGCAGACCTACCTCAAAGGATGTCTTTCCTGGCACGCGGCGGGCCACTGATAAATGTTTTTCTCTTTGGTCTCTGGCTACTCACCTCACCTTCCATCTGTGGCTCTTCTCCTTCAGGGAGGCTGACCTGACGAATCCATGGGGAAAGGAAGGAGAAGAGCAGGGAACTCGGGGCTCTCAGGGAAAACAGAGTGAGGCCGTGTTGACTTCCAGCACTCAGTTTGCCGTGGTCTGAGCTGCTGCCAGCACACCTGGCTTCTCCCTGCAGCGCACAGCCCCAGTGTTTCTAGACGTCCTGAAAGGTGTGTATCACATGGTCACAAAAGCTCACCATCCTAATAGTTACCTGTCTTATCTCCTCTGTCATTCTACTTCTGCTCCACCCTCACCTGCAGCCACCAAAACTTCTGCGAAGTGCCTTGCTGCTGTGGGGTCCCTGAGGGGCATGGGGAGGCCCTGCCGAGGCGCTCCCCCAGCCAGTCAGCAGCCGGGGTTCAGGGCTGGATCTGCCTCACCTGTTCTGGTTCCACCTGCGTGTCTCAGGCCCCATTACTTCACCCCTGGTTCTCGCCCTGCACTTCCTGGTTGACACTTATGATTCCAGAAAGGATTAAAAGCTGCTTACAGGGCTCCAAAAATATAGCAAGCTGAAATAAATAAGAAAATAAGTGAGAAAAAGAAGCAAAAGGTTCACAGCATTTCTTGCCTTATTCAAACAGCTTGCTGGTAATGTGCAGGGAGGGGTGAAATCATTTTGACATTGTCCATACAGGTAACTTACCTGTTTCAGGATCAGATATGGTAACCTGTCCAAGACGCTTGGAGATGACTCTCAAAATGGCCCGACCCAGACACCTGGGACAGCAGTGGCGCTGCATGTGGGGACCTCGGCACCTGGGCGCAGCCTCACCAGGTGGCATTGGTCACACACTTGGCTTCTCTCACAGCAACTGCTGACCTAAAAAGTGAAGCAATAAGAGCCTGAACACCTGAGACCTGAGAGTCTGATAAATTAAAAGGCAGTTTGGCAGGAAGCCACCCCCCCGAATGCCCCAGATATTAACAAAAGGCGCCTTGTCGCACACAGCCACAGCATGCAGGTGGGGCCAGGGCTTCGGGCAGTGTTGACTTAGAAAGAACAAAAAGAAAACTTCTTTGGGGCTTTTTTTCCCCTAACCTACCTCACAGGGTTATTGAAAGGATTAAATAAATATAGAGAGAAAGGCCTGCTGAGATTTGGGCCCAGAGGCCATTCCAGGAGAAACATCTTCTCCTGAAGAGTGGCAGCAGGTGACCCCACATGGGCCTCCATGTGGTTTTGGTGGTGGATGCATCTCGTGTGCATTCCGTAACAAGCCCACGAGGTAAGTGCCGTGGCGCCCCATGCCCAGAGAGGGCGGGCAGCGCTCACCTCACCTGGCCAGGGAGAGGCAGAGCCGCGTGGGGAGCGCCGTGCTCCTCGCCTCTCCCGGGTGGGCCTGTCCACAGCATCCTTTCTCACGCACAGGGCGGCAGCCATGGCTATGTTCAATGTCAGTTTAGGGTCCCTCAGGGGTAAGCTAACCAACTCCCATTCACTCTTCAATTCTGCCCTTACATGTCGTTTCCCCAGAGAGACCTCCTACTCTAAATAAGCCCTGGCTCCCCACGCCACCCCCACCCCGTCATTTTCAGAGTGCCTGGTCCTTCCCACTCAGGGCACTCATCACGAGCACAGTTAGTTGTTCTCCCTTGAGACCACTTCTCTCCTACCCTTTGCTCTTTAAACCACCATGTCACCCTCTGCCCTTCCACTGTCATCAGTGACCTTCTAGATCTCCCATCTTCCAGCTCAGGTGTTGGCACCTGGCACTCAAGTCTCTTCTGGTTCAAGTCCTGCCTTCGTCTTGGGTGCTTTTAACCTCACACGCATGACCCAGCTGACATCTGGCCTTCTCCTCTCGAAGTCCTTCCTCTCCCGTCCACCTCAGCTGACCCCTCGCACCAACTCAGTCTGGACCAGCTGAGACCTAAAACCAGTCCTCCTGCAAAAGCAGGAGCTGGAGTGTCTTCTTCCATCTCACGTATTGCACCCTTCCTGCTGCAACGGTCCTTTACTCCCACCCGGACCCTTGGCTTGCACTGATCAACTCTTGAGACTCAGATCAAGTCTGTGCCTTCCCATCACACCCATCTGGCTTCACTGCTTCACTGCTTTACTCCGTGTCCCGGGCCTGTGAGTCCTTAGCAGAGCGCTGCTGGCGAACGGCATGCTGAGAACCTGTTGCTGTCAGCACACACCTGCATTCCCCAAACTGCAGGGCCCTCGGCAGCCCAGCCCCATTTTGCTCCTAGACCCACTTCCTACACAGTTATTTCAGCAGGTGACCCGCAGCCCAGGGAGCCCTTCCTCTGCCTGGTGTCAGCCTGGTGCTCCAGATCCCCGCTGGGACAGCGTGGTTCCTCAAGGGACGCAGCCATGGCAGCCGCTTAGCCAAGCATGCTCCACCGAGAATGCCCCTGCCTCGGGGTCCCAGGAGAGAGCTCTTTAGTTTGTTCCTGAGTTCTCATTCCCCAGAGCAGGGTGGCCCCAGTCACGGGCCTTCAAATCCTAGCCTCGGGCTGTGCCAACGGCCCTTCTCCCTGCAGGGAGACGTTGCCCGGACACTGGACCTGGGTCACCCTCCTCGGCTCCTGTCCCTTGTGAGGAGTTCATCCCGGAGGGCCCCAAGCATTTCTTGCTGGAGGCCTCAGTCAGAACCATCTCCCTCCATCAGCAGGGTATAGGGGAAGAAAGATAATTTTGCTTCTACCCTTCTGAGTTAAAACTCTGTAATGAAAGACAGATTAACAAGAGAGCAAACAGAAGTTGGTAAACTTCAGAACAAACAGAAGTTTACTAACATGGGTCCATGGGAGATACCCGGGGGAAATAGTAACCAGCTGAGGTGGCTGAGAGTTCAGGCTTCCACAGCATCTGAAAGGGAAAGAGCTGGGGGAGTGGCGGCCTCTTCGGCGAGAGTGAACGCTTTTCAGGAACAATAAACGGGCCCTGAGAACAGACTTCCATGAGGAAGTCTGCCGGGGTGTGGTGTGGACTTTCAGGCTCCTTCCCTGTGATGGGCGTCCATCCACTGCGGCGGGTGGAACACCCAGAAGGGGTTTATGATGGTTGGGTCCCTTCTGGAGGACCGGTCTTCAGGCAGATGAGGGGACTTCAGAGAAAGCCTCTCCTTGCGTTTGCTGGTTCTCAAGTGCCAGCTAAAAATAATCAGTAGGCCAGAGTGGCACATTTTGGGGTAGCATATTCTGCTACCCTTCAAAGGTTTAATGCAGCAGCTCAACTTTCTCCAGCAGCAGAGACAGCAGGGAGACGCCATGGACACTCAAGAGAGGTGCCAAGGAACCAAACCTGACACCCCACCTGCTGCACCATGTACACACACAGACTCTTACAGTTTAACTGGTTTATTCTCAGACTCTACAGTTCACAAAAGATTGAAGCTGGTTTACAAAGTACATATAATTCAGTCGTATAAAGTGAAATAACAAATACCATGCTAAAGCAGAATCCTGCCTGCATACCCCGCCCCCATTCCTTGATTTGAGATCTCTGAAGACCAGAACTCTGTGTTTTGCTGGACTTGCCCCTCCCTTACAGGAGAAGGATGCAGAAGGGGGAATGGAGGAAATGCAGAGTTAGTCTAACCGAAAGCCTCATGCATCTCTTCCCTGCACGGTCCTGGGACAGGAGGGTGTAGGTCCTGCCACAAGCCATTGAGTAATTGGCTGCCACAGGAGTTGAGAGTGGCCTGGGAGACTGATGTTTCTGCAGTCCAGGGACACAGGGGAAGGGGCCGGCTGCAGCCCCCAGCCTCCCAAGCCGTCAGCACCACTGCCTGTCCACACGGAGCCTGTGTCCACAGGTGCCTGCAGCCGCTGAGGGGCCCAGTGCCCCTAACCGGCTCCTGCTGGCTCAGCTAGGAGACTTGTCCAGGCAGACAATATAATGGCTCCAGCTAAGGGCACGCTCTGCCGATAGGCTGCGTGTGTGCCGATCAGACACGGCCATCTCACTAGTCAGGGGACAGAAAAACACAATCGGCTCCTATGTCTGATACACCTGACTGGCCGACTGTGCCATTTATGACTTCAACCAGGCGGACCAAAAGATGGAGAAAAGCATCTTGGAAATAATTGTACAACTTCACAGATTGTTAGCAAACCTGACTTCCCATTACCAACTCCAGAGTTGTAATATGTTTAATCTTCGACTATTACGCAAAAGAAAAATCTACCCTCAAATCTCTATACTCTTTGTAATTAGACCCATTGCTCTCAACATCCAAGAATTGTAAGATACCGATAAAAGGTATCCATTTAAAACGCGCATCATAAGTGGGCTAAATAGAGATATCACCCCAGTCAAAGAGAATGTGTGTGGGCTTCTCATCGGGTAAATTCTTAGAAGAGAGTCAGTAGCTGGCTGTTAGGTCACAGGTTCAACTCTCAAGTATTCCAAGGGATGCTAACGAATGTTAGACCAGAGTCCGCTGGGTCGAGCATAACTATTTGTACCCTCGGTGGGGGCAGCAGTGCAAGGGCTCACACCCCAAAGAGCGAGCAGAGTGGTCAGGAGGTCAGCGAGCAGTGCAGACCGGGGAGGCTGCGGGTGTGTGCACAGGCAGCGGGGTGTGTGAGGGAAGGGAAGGGAGAGGTCTGAGAATCTCAGCCCCGAGGAGGAGCAGCGTCGTCCTCCAGGGGGCGGGGGAGGGGCGTTGTGGAGAGAAGCAGCTACATCATTCACCGCACCCACAGGGGTGGCGGGGGTGGGGGGTGCCTCCCCACGGCAGTTGCTCCCTGTCTTCCCTAGGGCAGGATGAGTGCCCTCTTCCTCTCTATCTTCCCCTGGACAGTCCCCTGGTAATCCACAAGGGTGTGCTAAGAAGCAGAATCAGGGACCTGGTGGGCAGGAAGGATGATTGGGGCTTCAGCCTGACACACTGGGCTGCTTCCTGAGCAGGGGGAGACCTGGGCCCGACTCCCCACACAGCCGGGTCCCAATGCCGTGCTGACTCCACCCACAGACCTGGAGGAGGAGGTGGCTCAGGCCACATCGGAGAGATTTGACTTGATTGCTGGGAACATGTCTGTCTACATAGGGCAGGCCAACTAAGGACACAGGTGTCACAGGGGAAAGTGGGGGTGGACTCCCCTCCTGGAAGGCACTTAGAATGGGGCAATGGAGTCCTCCTGACATTTCCAGGTCGACTCTATGAGGACATCTTCCAGTTCCATGGAGGCTGCTCTGGGGTGTTTCCACGTTTTGGGGGACATGGGGCTTGGGAACGCTGAAGCTCATGCTCAGCGAGGAGCAGTGCACAGGGAAGCTGATGGGATGGGAAAGTGCCCTCCTCTTGGCCCCGGCCTGCAGAGGGAACCGTTTCTGTTTTTGTTTTTGATTTTGTATGAGCAGATGAGTTTCATTTCGGGTGTTATCTCGCTACCCCCGCCCGTAGATGCCAGTCCCAGCGGAGCCACTCTCCTCAGCTTTGCCTTAACTTGCTTTCATCTTTCTCGCATTTGCAACTTAAGGGATGTTTTCCCACGTGAAAGCCCTTACGTGGGATGCCAGCTGGGCAACGTCAACTATGAGGGAAAGCTGCCGCACTTTGGGGTCAGAAACCAGAACGCCCAAATCTCATCCATGCCCTGGGTGAGAACCAAGCAACTCGTCTCGTCTTTCCGTGCCCCCATTTCCTCGTCTGCGAAATGGAGTGAGACCGACGACTTTCTCTGTTGGCCTCCACCCAGAGGTCACCAAGAGAAGGAAGGCCGGCAGCAGGAGGGCCGGCAGGAGCCCACCTCCCAGAAGAGCACTTACGGGCCAGGAGAATTTGAAAGGCGGCCTGGGCCAATCCACGCTTGGACCTCAGTCTTGTCTGCTAATGATTCCAACTCATGTTAGGGAGGGAACGGAGGACGCTGGTCATGCCAATGGTGAGCAGGAAGGACCGGGGGCTCGGAAGGCATCCTGATGCCCACTCCACCGCTGACGCACAGGGGGCTGGACTTCCTGAGAACGCAGCTTGCTCTCATGGATCCTGCCTGACCTGACCTTCTTTCTACACACAAGGAAACTGAGGCCCAGAGAAACCTGTGCTCAGGTCAGGTCACGCAGCTAGTCCGTGAAAAAGCCAGCACAAAATGAAAACAGTCCAGAGGTCTTCTCCTGCATGGAGCAAGGTGGGTTTCGGGATGAGCCTGTAGAAGTGGAAAGATAGACCGAGGAGGCAGCCAGAGGGAGCTGGAAGTGGTGGGGGAACGCCCAGGGAAGACAAGGCCCTGGGAGAGAGATGACTCCACCGGTTCCCAGGAAGAGGGGCGCGTGAGGGCCCGTGAATAAAGGGGGTGGGAGTCTGGAAAGGGGTCCAGTCATCTGAAAGGGGGTTGGTGGCCAAATGTCCAACTTTCTTCACAGCAGCTCCGCCACTGGGGGAAAGCGCCAGGACGCCTTCCAAGTGAGGGCTCTTACGGGTGTGGGCCCCGGGAAATGGTCAGGGCCCGGGGCTCACTTTCTACAGGCAGACATGGGAGATATTGCAGGTTCAGTCCCAGACCCTGGCAATAAAGCACACTGTGATCTTTTTGCTGATGAAGGGTATTGCCTTCAATTTGTAAAAACTCAGCACTTGTGAAGTGCGACAGGGTGGAGCACGATGAAACAAGGGACACCCATATGTGGCACACATGCGTTCGCTGGGCCACTAAGTGCTACGCAGGTAAAGACTTCCCAGTATTGTAGCATAACTGTGTAAGCTTGAATTAAAGTTACTGCGAATTCAAGAATAGATCAAAAAACTAAATTTGATAAGTTGCTGTAGCAGAGCTAATGCCTCTTTTTTTAAAAGATTTTATTTATTTATCCCCAAAGAGAGAGGAAGGGAGGGAGAAAGGGAAAGAAACATCGATACATGGTTGCCTCTCGCACACCCCCTATTGGGGACCTGGTCTCCAACCCAGGCATGTGCCCTAACAGGGAACTGAACTGGCGACCCTTTGTTTCACAGTCTGGCGCTCAATCCACTGAACCACACCAACCAGGAGAGCTAATGTCCCCTAAGGCCAATGTTGTTCCTCCAGTTAAATGAATTAGTAGGTGGCCAGCTGTAATGTTGGCAGTTAGTCACACAGCTAAGTCTACTGGATGAATAAATAGGCAGACGGCTTCAATAATGACTAATATAGAATAAGTGGGGTGGGTGACTCTCAGGTGGGAAATAGGCTAAAGATTTGTTTTGTGGCAGAAACCAGTAACTACTGTTCTGCCCATAGGGGACTGCCCATTCTTAGATTTATTGACAGCTGTGTGGGATGTGTAAGTGAATGTGGTAGAAGGCCTAGTAGATTTGGTGATAGGAATATTAGAAATCAGGCCTGTCCTTTATCATTGTGAATGGCTACTATTTAAAAAAATTTTTTTTCTTGTTATTCTATTACCGTTGTCCCAATTTTTCCCCCTTTGCCCTCCTCTACCCAGCTACTATTTGTTTTGATGTAAATTGAATTAGTCATTGTTGGATAAAAATAAAAAGCACCTATTAGTTAGGTTTGGGATATAAAATGCTTGGAGATAGAATAACAAGTAATCCTATTATGGTTGGGTTAGTGACAGAAGCAAATAAATTTTTGTTCATTTTGTTTCTTAAGGGATATAATATTTCGGTGTTTTAATTGTTTAGTTCTGGAGGTGAAGGATAAAAGTGTTTTGAAATTTTTAATTGAAATACAATGAATGATACTGTAATTGATAAAATATAATCATGTTGATGTATCATGTTGATGTTGTGGCATATCATTAAGAAGAGGTTGAAACTCTGTCTTTAACTTAAAAGATTAATGCTATTTAGTTTTTTTTTAAGATTTTATTTATTTTTTTAGAGAGAGAGGAAGGGAGGGAGAGAAACATCAATGTGTGGTTGCCTCTCGCTCACTCCCTACTGGGGACCTGGCCTACAACTCAGGCATGTGCTCTGACAGGGAATTGAACTGGCAAGGCTTTGGTTTGCAGGCCCATGCTTAATCCACTGAGCCACACCAGCCAGGGCACTACTTAGTTTTTTAATGACTTCATATTACAGATGCTGATTATTCATTGAAATATTTTAGTAGAATCAATTTAAGGACAATAGGCATAAAGATATGATTCAACCAACAAATTTCTAATCATTGTCCATAGTAGTATAAGCCTGATGTTAGGGTTGTTTAATTAAAGCACCTGGAGTGATATTTATCTTTTAGCCTAGGGAGGGAATACATAGCTCATGAGTGCCAGCCATCTTTGGACTAATTTAGCATTCAGGTTATTACTTCTATAGGTAGAACTGCTTCATTATCAACTTCTAGTAGTCACAGTTCTGGCTTTTGATCAGTTGCAAAAGTTACATAAATCTTTGCAGTCTGTGTATACACAGCTTGAGTATCATTGGTGGCTATAGGTTTTTACAGTTCGGGAAAGTTATTGATTTCATCTATTATATAAAGAATTTGCAATGGTAGAGCAATTAAAATGAAGACAACAGGTAGATTAGTTCAAACTGTTTCCACATGGGCATCCGTTGCACTTGTGTGGGTTCGTTCAGTTGTTAATAGTAATGAAATAATGTGAAGGGCTAATGAATTAGGAAAACGATTCTTTGTCCATGATCATGAAAATGTAAAGAGTTTTCTGTAGTAAGTGATGTTGCATCTTGGTATCTTAGTTGGAATGGACATGCCATACAGATATAAAGGGTTCAAAACTATAATATTTTAACTTTTAAAAAGTGATGTAACTTTTACTCTCTCACTTACTGAGAAAGACATAGTTGTTATGACGTTGGCTTGAACCCACTTGGAGAAGGTTCCGTTTCCTCCTTTCTGATGTTAAATGTGCAGAAGTAGGTTCTTCAAATGCAGGATGCAGTGGGGGACATCCATGCAATCATCTGAGACTGGTGTTTTGAGATGGGCAGTGGTTAATTCTACTGCTGATGCTTCTTGTTTAGATGCCAATGCTTCTCAGTGTATAAAAACTCCTAATTCGTGCTTCCGCTGCTAATGAAATGAGTGCGCCTGTGGGTGAGACGGCATTGCATGTTGTGTTTGCAGCTTCATGGTCGGGTCCTGCTGTGGCATTCCTGAAAGGCCAAGGAAATGCTGCGGAAAGAGAGTTATATTACCGCCTACAAATATAATTGTAAAATAAGTTTTTGCTCAGGCAGAGTTGAGTGGTTGAGGCTATAAGCCTGAAAATAATGGAAAGCTGTGGACAACTCCTCCTACAACTGGCAAATACTGCTCTGTAGAAAAGACATAGTAAACATGGGTTACTATTGGGTTAGCCAATAAGTTTTTGATTTTTTTTTTCTGTTAAGATGGCTCTTGTTGCACTTAGCTGTCTTTAACTTCATTTGAAACAATTTTATTAGACTGTATTGTGACAGCTGGCATATCAGTGTGCATTAAAAAACCTATCAAAATTGGTGAATTTTTGTGTAGCCATTCTAATATTGAAGATGGAAGATAATAAGCAACATTTTCAGCATATTATGATTTATTATTTCAAGAAAGGTAGAAATACAACTAAAACACAAAAAAAGATTTGTGCAGTATATGGAGAAGTTGCTGTGACTGATCAAATGTGTCAAAAGTGAGCTGCAAATTTCAGACTTTCTATTTCTTTCTGATTCAGTCTTGGTAATCTGTATGTTTCTGTTAATTAGTTCGTAATAGCCTATGATTTATTATATTTCTTTGGTATCAGTTATAATGTGTCCCTTTTTATTTATAATTTTATTGATTTTTGTCCTTTTTTCCATGGTTAATCTAGCTTAAGTTTCGTCAACTTGTTTATCTTTTCAAAGAATCAACTTTTAGTTTGGGTAATTTTTCCTATTGTGTTCCTGTTCTCTAATTCGTTTCTGCTCTAATCTTTATTATTTCCTTCCTTCTAACCTTGGGCTCTGTTTGTTTTTCTTTTTCTAGTTCCTTAAAATGTGGAGTTGAATTGTTTATTGGGGACATTTCTTGCTTCTTAATGTAAGCATTTATTGTAATGAACTTCCCTCTTAGAACTGCTTTTACTATATCTCATAAGTTTGGGTAGCTGTGTTTCCATTAGCATTTGTCTTGAAATACTTTTTAAATTCCCCATTTAATTTCTTCTTTGATCCATTGGCTGTTCAGAACAGTACTATTTAATTTCCATTTATTTATGGATTTTCTTGTTTTCCTTGTACTGTTGATTTCTAGTTTCATACCATTGTGGTCAGTGAAGATACTGGTATGATTTCAGTCTTCTCGATTTTCCTAAGCGTTGTTTTGTGGCCTAACATATGGTCTGCCCGAGACAACGTTCCACGTGTACTTGAGAAGAGTGTGTATTCTGTTGTTGTCATCAGATAGAATGTTCTGCATGTGTCTGTTAGGTCCCTTTGATTGATAGGGTTGTTCAAATCTGCAGTTTTCTGGTCCTCTGTCCAGATGATCTGTCTATTGTTGAGAGAGAGGTATTAGAGTCCCTAACTATTATATTATTGCTGTTAATTTCTCCTTTTAGTTCTGTTAGTTTTCACTTTATGCATTTAGATGCTCTGATGTTGGGAGCATAAATATTTAAATTTTATATTTTCTTGAGGTATTGACCCCTTTATCAAACTCTTATCTCTTTTTTCATCAGTTTAAAGTATATATTTTTGATATAAGAATAGTTATCCCTGCCCCCGCTTTTGTTACTATTTGCCTGAGTATCTTCTTCTATGTCTTTACTGTCAGTCTGTGTGTGTCTTGTAGGTAGTATGTGATCGTATGTTTGAAAAGATCCATTCAGCTATTTTATGTATTTTGATTGAAGAACTTAATCTGCTAAAGTTTAAAGTAATTATTGAAAAGTAAGGACTTATTGCCATTTTGTTTGTATTCTTGAGCTTTATAAATCATCGTTCCTTGTTTCTTACCCTTCTGTCTTTGTGGATATGTTTTGATGTCTTGTATTAGTATGCTTTGGCTTCTTTATCGTGTCCTTTTTGTGTAATTACTATAGGTTTTTTCTCTGTGGTTCCTATGAGGCTTATATGAAATACCTTAAATTCATAAAATGCTACTTTAAAAATTTTTTTTATTTATTTTTAGAGAGAGGAGAATGGAGGGAGAGAGGGAGAGAAACATTGATGTGAGAAACATTGATTGGTTGCCTCTTTTATGTG